GAGAGAGAACAACTTATGCAAAACAAGATAGAACTTCCTAGTATCAAGAGAATCCCAAAGGACTCTATTGTTGCTGTTGTTACATGGTAATGTTAAACAAAGCTTATTTTATAGGGCTACAACTAACTGGAAGTTGTAATCCAAAAAATGGAATTTATGAAAAGATGTACAATCTGCTGTTATTATCTAGGCTTAGGAGTACAACATAGTTATGGTCTAAGAGTTGTATTAATCAGAAAATCAAGACATTTGTAAGCATGATATTCAAGATGTCAAAAGTAGTGTAATGAATACAATCTGACCAGATTTCAGAAATGTCTGCTGAGGAATGTTTGAGCTATTACAGTTTTTAAATATAGTTTCAAATGTAGGTGTCCTCATATGTACATTAATTTTTTCAGCCTGGTATCTGAAATAGTGTCAAAAACTGAAGGGTAAATTTCTCACCTGAAACAAACTTTTTTCCCCTTAAGTCATGAATTTCTAAAGTTAGGAGGCTTCAAATTTTGTCATTTAACAGAGGGTCAGTTATTCTGCAACAATAATTTTGAGAAAATCATGAAGAACCCATTATGAAGCAGCATAGTGGCAGCATTTCTTGTCATTGTCGCTAATTATTATAGAAACTAAATGTATAGAAGTTAGAAGCAAGGACCATATAATAGACTGTGTAATATGTTACTGTTTATGGAGAAAGAAGTGCCTTGATAGTCCAGCTGGATTTTGAAAAGGAAGAGGCACTCAAGATCACATTGCAAATATTAGCTGGGTACTGGAGCACACCAAAGATGTTCAGATCAGCCTATGCTTTACAAATTACTGCAAAGCCCTTGTTGGTACAGATCATGAGAAACTATGGATTGTTCTGAAAAATAAAATAAATGTACCTCAGCACTTAATTGTCCTGATGCACAATTTGTATTGGGGACATGAAGCTACCATTAGGACAGAATATGGAGAGACAGAATGGTTTCCTATAGGCGAAGGTTTCAGACAAGGATGTGTTTTATCCCCTTAGCTATTCAATCTCTACACAAAAGAGCTGAACTAGATTCAGATGAAGGAGGAGTGAAAATTGGTGGAAGAAGCATCAATAATTTATGCAAGTGACACCATCTTACTTGTAGAAACCAGCAATGATTTCAAATGACAGGGAAAGTGAAAGAAGAAAGTGCCAAAGCAGGACCGCACCTGAACACGAAGAAGACCAAAATCATGATTACAGAAGAACTACACAACTTTAACATTGACAGTGAAGAAATTGGAATAGAAATTTTGTATACTTAGGTTCAAGTCAATCCAAATGGAGACTGTAGCCAAGAAATCAGAAGACTGAGACTCAGAAAGGCAGTGATGAAGGAATGAGAAAAGATAATCAAGTGTAAGGATGGGTCACTGGAGACCAAGATCAAGATCATCCACATTATTGTATTTCCAGTCACCATGTATGGGTGTGAAAGCTGAACAGTTAAAAAAAACTGGCAGGAAAAAAGTTGATTCATTTGAAATGTTCTGGACGACAGCTTTGTGGACACCCAGGACTTCCAGAAAGACAAACTAGTGGGTCCTAGATCAAATCAAGGCTGAAATGTCTCTGGAGGCAGAAATGTTGAAATTGAGGTTGTTCTACTTTGGGCACATCATGAGAAGATTCTCTGGAAAAGACAAGAATGCTGGGAAAGGCTGAAGGCAGCAGGAAAAGAGGAAGACCAAATATAAGATGGATTGATTCTGTAAAGGAAGTGTGTGTTGAGGAAGGGCTGTTGAAGACTACATTTTGGAGACCACTCATTCATGGGGTTGCCATAAGTTGTGGACAACTTGATAGCATGTAACAACAACAAAAATCCATATTTTCAATGTCTTGGTACTGAACAGTTGTATTTACCTGTAGTTCAGATAAACTGAGTTTCAGCCAAAGCAAAGTAAGTTAAAATTGTGGCATAAATAGATAAAGCAGGTGTTACGATTTTAAGAACACATGATAAAAGTTTCTAAAGCACTTGAAAGAAATAGGATACCTTATTTGAAGATACGTTGTTTTTTAAAAACTGATGATCTCCAAGCATTATTGGATTATTATATGAGGAAGACTTACACAGCTCTTCATTGTCAAAGAATCGATCTGATTATATTGTTGACATGAAGTTGTGTATGGGAAGCTCTGGAAGATGTACATAACAGGTTGTATTGTGCAGTTTATGTAGCCCCAAGGGATAGATTTCTGGCTAGTAACTTTGGCAGGAGTATCTCTGACAAAACCTACTGCAATTTGTTGGACCAGGATAACTGTCACACTGATTGTGGTAGCTGGAAAGAAAATTAGTGAGTTCAGTTACTCCTATTGCTGAATTATATGCTAGATTATAGTTTTAAACCTCAGTTTGCAACTCTGTCCCTTCATATATTTTATCTTTTTGTAACAAAATAATTGGTGTAAGGCAAATAATCTTTGAAGATTATTAGCTGGCAACATATTTTGAACAGGGAATTGGGTGGGGCCTATGAAAAGAAGAGCTAGTTAACTAAAATTTATGGATATTGTAAATCTTTGTTATCAGTGATGGCACAGTTTCTGTCCATTCTGTTTTTTATTCAGACATTGATGAGGAGGAAGAAAAGGACATGCGTTTCTTTTAGTTTCCAGATATAATCAGATTCTTGCAATTAGTTTATTTTAGGCTTGACATGGTGCAGAATTTGACATTTTACTGTATGTCTCCTGCTGCTCATGCCAGCATTAAAGGTAAAGGTGAAGGTTCCCCTTGACAATTTGTCCAGTCGTGTTCGACTCCAGGGGGCGGTGCTCATCCCTGTTTCCAAGCCATAGAGCCACTGTTCATCTGAAGACAGTGGTCACATGGCCAGCTCGACTTGACACAAAACGCCATTACCTTCTCACCGAGGTGGTCCCTATTTATCTACTCGCATTTGCATGCTTTCGAACCACTAGGTGGGCAGGAACTGGGACAAGCGATGGGCGCTCACTCCATCACGTGGATTCAATCTTACAACTGCAGATCTATAGACCTTACAGCACAGAGTCTTCTGTGGTTTAACCTGTAGCGCCACCACATCCCTATCATGCCAGCATTAAGGTATTCCAATTTTTGCACCTGTAGTTTTGCAACCCAAACCACTAGGTAAAAGTGTATGCTATGTTGTTTGGATATTTTCGTGGAGATAATACACAACACAGTTGTGGATTAAATTGGATTTATGCAGATTTTTCCTATTCTCTTAAACTGCATAGGCAATCCAATTAAATAGTGAATCCATTTCTTTCACATGGGGGGGGGAAGAACCACTCATTGATTTACCAAGCAAATTATGTTCTTTCAATTGAGATGTAGTGGATAGAGTGACAGACTAGGATTCTGGAGAATCACTACTTGGCCATGGAAATTCACTGAGGGAAACAAAACTAGTAAAACCACCCCTTGAATGTCTCACTTACCTTGAAAGCCCTATTAGGGTTGTTATGTGGGTTCTGACTCGATGGCACAGAACACAATTCAGAAAAAGAAGAGAATATACAAATCTTTGGCCTATGTATTAGTTTCCTTTTGGTCTTTGGTAGTAATCTTATTAATATGTCAGTAACAGTTGTGATTGATGAGAAGGTTGTAACTTGCCACATTCAAGTAAAATCCAGAGAACTGTTAACCACCCTCCTGTCTATTAAAATACTTCTTTTTGAGCAATAACATTTGTTTCTTCTGTGGATATCCTTTTTTCCCCCTCAAGTTCATATGTCCTGAATATGAATCTTTCTACGGGATTTAAACTCATTTTTTCTAACTTAAAAGTATTAGATTTCACTATATGAAATTTAAAAACATCAAATTTGAGTTCTATCATAAATAATGTTACAGACCACCCTATTCACCAAATGCAAATAGAAACTGACCAGGTCTGATCCTGGAGCTACAAAGAAGCTCTTTGCAGACCAATGGTTAACCCTCTAATTTGAATTCCCTGCCTTTTTTCCCTGCCTTTTTCTGTTTGTAACTGGAAGCTCTGGCCACAAGTCGAAGCAAAATTTTGCGGCCGGAACAGGTTGCAACTCGAAATGGTCATATGTTGGGACATTCATAAGTTGAGGCACCACTTACAATGTGAATATCCTAATTGCAGCTGTGAGGGATTGAAGTGTTGTGTAAACAATGATTGCCTTCTACAGAAGAGAAAATCCTAAATTTTACAATGGGGAAGAAAAATGCCACATGTCATACTAATTGTGAACCAAGGTTTGTTGCTACAGCTGATTCATTTCATTCCACCTTCCTATTTCCCCCTTATCAATGACATAATGCTAATTCAGTTTAAAGTGTTTGAGATGAAAGTCTCCCTTATTGTGAGGTGGGGCGAGATAGAAATGTTCTCTGCTCGATTAAGGCTAGAAATGGGTTTGGGCATCTCATCTCCTAAACAGAATTGATTCTATTTATTTAAGGCAAGGTTGAAAAATTCCAAAGTGACTTTATTTGTCTACTGGGGAAGTGCCAACGTGGGAAGAAATAAAGAGAGTTTCAAGGACTTTTGCTGGTTTTATTCTTCATCAGGGAGGATTCTGGTGAAAGCTTTTCCAGACTGACATGAAAATTTTGATATGAGAAAAGTAAACTCAGATTCAGCAGAGTTGTTTGTTCTCTTAGCACAGTGAGAACTGCCAATCAGTAGATTGTTGTGCCTGCTATAATTCTGGGGAAAAGCAACAGTTACCGTTTTTTTCCCCATAGCCTGATCTTTTGCTGTAGTTTTAGAAAAACAAGTAGTGGGTGTTGATGGTTTGTATCCAGACCATAATATGAGGTTAGGAAGCTGTAACAATTGTCGTTCCAATGGAATCACTGCCCCAAACTATTTCTTGGAGCATACTGTTTTCCTTATTATTGGAGGAAGACCTCCAATAATAAGGAAAATAATATGCTGTGAAATTTTACTACTCCTTTAAATATCAACATGACATTATTTTTCCCTCACTGTTTTCTCCACAGATCTGCTGTTCAGAACAAGATGAATTGGTATAGTATTTTGACTGGATTTCTGCAGCTGAGTAAGTTGGCTACCTGCTCTCTTTTTTAAAAAATAGTGTGCCGTTTGAACTATTGTAAAGTATTTCACATGATATAGAAAATCTTTACAGACTTTTTAAAATTTTCATGCTAGTCAAGACTTTGATGTGTTAAATAAATAAATAAATGCAATGACAAAAGCAAGTAGAATAGAAAAGAATATCAACTGATTGAATAATGAGAAATAGAATAGAAATGTCATGCTGACCTGTAGCTTCTAATAATTTTGAGTAGAAACATTTCTGTGATTTTAAATATGCATTTGTATTTTGTTCAATAATCACATCTAACTTTTATTTTATTTCATTTGCATTTACCAAATGTTCTGAATTTCATTGTTTAAATCTAAATTCCTTTTTTCCCTCCCTGTACCTTCAGATTTTCTTCAAATGGCAATTTCTCATTGCATGGTATATCAGATTCCTCCACAGAACTTTGAGTTACCTTGTGTGCCACGTGAGAAGATTTCTAACTTCTCTTTACCTGCTGGAATTGCAGAGAATGGTCCTACCTTAAAGGAGGAGCAGGGTACAAATAAAGTCAATGCCACAACACTGGTAGCTGAAGATTGTTTCCTCTGTTGCCACTGGAGTGAAAGATATGTTAATTGTTTTATGTATACTGAAGAAATGGAAGCCAGGACATTTCCTGATTCAGAAACTGATGCTTTATCATCTCAGCCAATAGGTCTGCTTGAAGAGAATTTTTGTTGTTATTGTCATCATCATTATTTTAAGTATTTATATACTCCCCTATAACCATCTCAGAGTGCTTTAAAATAAGAATAAAACCTGCATAAAATATATCAACAATAAACTATATAAAATGGTGACAAAAGTTTAAACACATTAGATAAAAAGGAGTTTTCATATCCAAGTTGCTGCTATTGAAAAAGTTCTTTCTCTACTAACCATTTTTCTCATTTAGACAACCATGGAAGGGGCTTGGGTAAATCTTAAAGTTTTGGCAAAGACAATGTTGGGATAGCTGGTCCTTCAAGTATCTTTGTCCCAAGCTATAAAGATTTTAAAACTTTAAAAGAAAGCATATTGAATTTTGCTGTGAAATGGATCTGGATTCAGTGAAGTTGACAGAGCACTGATGTGATAGATAGAGCACTGAGCCTCATGGCACGATGGTTAAACTGATTTACTGCAGCCAAAACTGTGCTCACAACTGGGGTTCTATCCAGGGTAGCCAGCTCAAGTTTGACTCAGCCTTCTGTCCTTCTGAAGTCAGTAAGATGTGTAGCCTGCATAATTAACTTGTATACTGCCTTTTAAGCACCATGGGGGTAGAATATAAGCAGGCCACTTTGCTTTTTTGCTTTTTTCACACTACCCACACCATCGTTTATGGGTATTTTGCAAGTATTCCAAAATAGCATGCCTAATAGGATCTCAATTAGATAGGTGGACACTAGGAAATATGAAAAGTAGTATATGTTTCTTTTATATTATACGTAAGTGAAGGAACAAAGGAGTTCAAGCAAGGATGATGATGAGTTTCGGTTAGGGGGGCAATTCACAGATATTGAGGAAAACATTCCATTCACAAGAGAGAGAAAAAGATTGGCCAAGCATTGGGAGGTATATGGCCAGTTAAAGATTGAATAATTTACGAAGTTAGCTTCTGTTATGAAGCAGGCTTCACACAGTCATAGTAGCTGTTGTGTGAGGAGGTCAGGTTCAATGAGACCTTACTGATATTTTTTTTGCCATTGGAGAAGTTATGATTTGGTGTCAGAACCTGGTCAGTGTGGATAGGTTCAATGTGTAGCCTCACATAAATGGTTTAACATGTATTTGAGCTGGCATAGTCTGGTTTTTCAAATCTACAATTTGCTTCACAATTCTGTGGCACTCTGGGGGTAGTTTGAACCTGTACAGTGACATTATTCCCAATGTAAAATTCTATATACAGTGGGGTCTTGACTTAAGAACGGCCCGAGTTAAGAACATTTTGACTTAAGAACCACTCTCTTAGGAAAATATTGACTTGACTTACATACTTAGATTTGAGTTAAGAACTGAAAAAAACCCACGTGGGAGGCAGGGAAAGTGCAAAATTTGAACTTTCAGTTAACTGTTGGCCAGTGAAAAGGGTGCCTGTCTGCTTCCTCACTCCTCCCAGCGTTTAGAGAGTGGATTGGGAAACAGTCTTCAGACTGCCTGGTACTGCCTGGACTGTATTTTCCCTTCCTTCGCTGAACCTTTCTTGACCTAAGAAAAAACGAAACAAAATATCCCCCTCTAGTGGTCGAAGGCGGAATAGCAGCTTCTCATTAGTTTCTATGGACGGAAAAGAGCACATACGGATCAAATGGTTCTCAATGCATTCCTATGGGAAATGCAGATTTGACCTGAGAACTTTTTGACTTGAGAACCGCCTTCCAATACGGATTAAGTTCTCAAGTCAAGACCCCACTGTACCGGTAAAAGCATATGGAAAGTGGACATTTACAATGTGGTAAACTTCTATCTCAGTTTAATAAAATCAGAATGCTAGTATAAGAGAACAGACCACCGGAATTTCAGCACACCAAAATATAAAGAAATGTTTGAATTTATTGCTATTACATAGTTAATACTCATAGTGATTTCTGGTAGTGTTTTTGAGAGGCTTACTGTGCAGAACCTACTGCACCCAGAATCCCTTGCAACTCCCACAAAGCTTAACCCTGCCCACCCTTTTCCCCTGTCTTCTCCACAGGATAAAAATAGCTGTCAGAGTGTTTGTTAGCTTAACAACTTGAAAACACCTGTCAATACTTTCTTTTTTTTTAAAATTAAAGTCCCAAGATATCTGATTGCAGAAATTGCTGTAGACATCAAGGGGCTATAGTTCACAAATTAAAAAAAAAATCCCACACCTAATTATTGCACACTAATAATGTCAAAATCTTTCTTTAGGAATCATTTGAGTTTATAAACATTCTTTAAAATGTGTTTTCATCAGTGTCATACAGTTGAGCATTTTAATACTTTGGTTTTATAAGGGAGTTTGAAAAATATTTAACTTTTCCCTTTAGATTCAGTTTGGAATGTACAGTTGTGGACTAAAGAAAACACACAGGAATTATTTTGCATTGTGGAATTATCTACAAAATTGCCATACCTGAACGAAGACTTCTCAGTTAATCTGTTGTATGGATTGTAAGTATATTATTTGTCAAAGCTAAAATTTGTGAACTTTGTGAATTATAAAATTAAACTAAAAAAAGAGCTTTGAAACTCTAAGGTTGTTCCAGTTTTAATGTTGTAAGACTGCCTTTTTGTCTTTCTGACTTACCTATCTAATATTGCAGGCAGAGAGTGTGGTGGAATTAGGAAGCCAGACTTATATTTCAAACTTTAAAAGTGAATAGTTAACACAGGGCATGCCCTCCCTGCTCTGTCTTTGACCTTCACGAACCTACATGTTTCATTATATGCAAGGTCGGGTATCTCTTCTGTAAGTATCAATACTGAAAAGTAATTCACTTCTAACTCTTAAGGTGTAAGCATGGCCTGTCCCATCATATCACTTCAGAGACTTCAGCTATTATTGACATATTTGAAGAGGCACCCAGCTTGGTGGCCCTTGGGATATGTTTAAAATTTTATAATATTCTGCATAGTTCTATGAACAAAATAATTTGTTCATATAGCCTTCAGCTTGTGTTGTGTGTGTAAATTCTTTCCCAGGTAACTCCTCCTTAAGCCAGGGATTCCGCCATCTTGACTGTTTTATTAACTGTTGTTTCTGTGGGTTGCTTTTAAGTTCATAATGTTAATAAGTGATTTATAATGCTTAGTGTATGTTTATTCTTTATGTTGACATTATTTTATTTTGGTTTTTTGATGGATTATTGTCTTATTTTATGTTGTGAATAGCCCAGAATGGCCTTGGTATAGAAATTTGGCAGTATAGAAATCAGTCAATCAACCAGTCAATCGATCAATCGATTGATTATCTGAATAGGCTTTAAAAAAATTCAAGCTCTTTGGGTATGAGAATGTGACTTGTCATGGGCCAATTGTTTGTCTCTGGTTTGAAAAAAAAAGTCTACCAGGAGAAGAGAGGTGCATTAATTCCTTTCAAAGGCTTGATTAACTGTTCCTGGCTCTTCCTGCCGGCAAGCTTTATGAATTCTGGATATGTTGGATAGCTTAGTGGCTTAGGTGTTTTGAGTGCAGAGGCAGATGTTGGGAGTTCACTCCCCTGCTGTGCCTTCTTGACAGGGTTTGGAGTCAATGATCCACAGGGTCCCTTGCAGCTCTGCAGTTTGGAGATGATTAAGCATCCGTAAATACCTAGGACACAGAGCTACAATAAATATTTTCCTGTGGGCAGTGTGTTGCAGTTAGACAATATTGTGGTCTGTTTTTAGTTTGTCAACCACCCAGAATAGCGCATAGCACTAATGGGGGTGGTGAACAAAGAAACAAATAAATAAATCTAGCCATGGATATTTTCTCTTGATAGTTTATTATAGCTTCTCTTTCATGTAAATATGATGGAAGACATTGCTTGTTATTTGGGGACTGAAATTACAAATTTGTCTTTCAGTGGAACAGGTTCCCTAAGCAACTACTTCAATTGGCAAACTTTTGTTGGTTAAACGATTGAGTATCTTGTAAGAATTCTATGTTTATCACATATGAATGCATTGCATCCTCTCTTAATTTCTGTAACAATAAATGATTGAAAGGCTGCTGTTCAGATGAAACCTAGTTAAATCGTTCCTCAGTAAACTCTGATTTTTTTTTTACTGGAATACAACTTTTTTTTCAAAACTCTAAATCAGATAATTGATAATAATTTAAGATAATCTGCTTTTAATTTTTAAAATACATAACTTGTCATTGAATACCACAGCTGGTTTCTCTTATGAATACAGAGGGAAATAGTGGCAAGACGAGCAATGAATTATTTCAACTTGACAGCTGTATAGTGAAAAATGAAGCCAAATGCTTGGAGTAATTTTTTTTCATTCTGTTTATGTAAAATCTCATCCAGGAAAACATGGACTTTACAACTTTATTTTTAAAGTTCTACAGTTTCATGCCAGTTTGAGGCTCCTCTCTCTCTCTCTCTCTCTCTCTCTCTCTCTCTCTCTCTCTCTGTGTGTGTGTGTGTGTGTGTGTGTGTGTGTGTGTGTGAAAACTAAGCAAAGTATTCTTAACTGCTCTGAACTATTAGATGGTTTTAGTTCTTCACACAGTATATGATTTGTAAGTATAATTCCAAAAGGCTAATGAAATTGATTCTTCCTGAGCAAGGTTGTGTTCCCTTTCCTCAGATTGTTGTTGGCTTCTTTAGAAAAACAAACAAATAAGAACAAGCTTTGTGTGCTATAATACTTCCATTAAAAACCATGCTGCTTAAAAGAGTGCTGTTTACTGCCTATATACCACTCCATAGCACTTAAAACACTCTCTGGGCAGTTTACATTTTAATTATGCAGCCTACACATTGCCCACCCACCCCAGCAAGCTGGTCACTCAGTTTATCAATCTTGGAAGGATGGAAGACTGAGTGAACCTAGAGCAGGCTATCTGGACTTGAATCCAGGTCATGAGCAGAGTTTTGGCTGCAGTACTGCAGTTTAACTACTACACCATGAGGCTTCTCTGTACCTTATCCTATTACACCTTATCCTATGCAGTATAATAGTTCAAGGACTTTTCATGCTGGCCTTTTATTATTTCATCACATGTTTTCCACAGTACCCACATAAGCTCTGCTTGATGTTCAGTGCCTTCTACTTTGAAAATTTCATGTTAATATTGAAGAAACGGCAGCAATTCTTTGCTTAGGCCTGCAACTCCGCAAACTGATGCTAATGTAATAATACATGTGAACAATACATTGCTTGGGTTGACATGGACTAATCCCCGACTTTGATGATTGCACAAATGATCAAGGCCATTTATCATTCAGGTTGTGTTTGAGATTATTATATATACAGATGAGCTCACAGCATAGTAGCACACAACTAGTATCAAACTGACCTCTTTAGTCTCTTCTTGTCAAAATGTACTCATCAACCTTTGTCATAATAATATGCGACCATCCTGCTTGTTTAGCCAAGACAATAAAGCACTTGAGAATACTTGCCAACGGTTGTTTCAATTTGGCCTTTATGACATTTATTTTATTTACAAAACACTCCAGACTGGAGTGATATTTTATTTTTAAATTGAGGGCATGCTGTTTTAGTGACTAAAAATTATCTCACGTAACACTTGAAACAAAGCGCCATCCTCAATAGCTGAAATCCTATATAAATAACATAACCATTTTTATTCATTCACCCACAAAAGAATTTTTGTTATGTTTCTTTGAGATACCACAGCACAATATGCTTGACAATGGCTCATGCTGTGCTTTACAGGGCAGACACGGAGAAGCTTTAATCTGAGAGGATGATGAAAATGTATGTGTGAGAAAGTGTGAGGTGGACAAAAGGGGGTGGAGAGAGAATGTGGGGACACAAACACACACAGAAACATAATGCACTGCCATTACTCACCTCTCTCTACAAAGCCTCTCTCCCCGTAAGCTGCCACTTCTTTTTAAAAAACAGCTCTCCCCTGTCCTATTTATTCAGTTTTTAAAAAATAGTTTAAGAACTCTCTAGATAAGGTAGAAAAGTGATTGGAGGAAAGCCTTCTTAAGGCAGTTCCTTTGAACTGTGCCACTACAGGTGCTTCAGATGGAATTGCAAGTAGAAGGCTGTTTTTCCTCCTGTGCTTTTGTGGCCACTTATATAAGAGAGAACCGAATGCCAAAATGCAACTTCTCAGTGAGAGAAGGTAATTTAATTTGCATTTCCCCCACTGTGTAGTCATAGCTGAAATTAGTTCTGATTTTTTTTCCAATTTCTTTTCCTGTTGTTTCTACTCCTTGGTTCTAGTATTGTTCTCTGGGGACATAAAGAGAAAACCTACCTCATCTGCTGCATTACAGCCTTGCAGATACTTTGACTTTCTTTAATCTTTCTGTTCTTAGACTAAACATGCCCAACTCTTTTAACCTTTCAGCCATGTTTCTGTTTTTTCCTCTCCTTCTTAGAAAGAGGCACCTAGAATGGTACTCCACATGTGACCTGACTAATGCAGAACATAGTGCAAATATTGGCTCTCATGAGCTGTTTATCAAGCTTATATAGCCAAATGTTGTCAAACATTTTTCAGTGGGTGTTTTGTACTAGAGCCTATAGTAGCATTTTCATTTTTGGGTTTGTGAGCTGTTTTATGTTTCTTCTTTTTCTTATTGATTTTTACTGCTGTTGACTTAAGCTACTGAGATTCATGTGATTTGGCTGACCCAAAATAATTAGTTCAAATACAGATGGTAATCATTGACTGTGTGGACCAGGACCTGAATCCAGGTATACCTTCTGAATAAATGAGATTTACATAAATGTTGACTCACCTTTCAGGAATGAATAAGTGGGCCTCATCTAATTGAGACTTGCAAGTGGATTTAGGCCTAGTATCTCATTCAGGAAACAGATTCAGGAATCAGGTAGATGAATGTCCATGCTGTTGTTACTTTTCTCCTCAGTCAAGCTAATCCCCATATGAAGATGTGCCGAGAGTCAAATCTTACATTTTTTTTTGGAAACAAAACCACTGTTAGCTCCTTCCAGAAAACACTAGTGTGTGTCGTTAGATTTTTGGAAAAAGAAAGGGAAAACCTGGTTAAAATCATTTATACTATCATTTAGCCTAATTTACAGTAGACAAATGTTATGAAGATAAAACCATTGCGGGGGGTGTGTGTGAGAAAGAAACCATGTTTGCCCTTCTCAGAAAAGGCGGAATGTATGTTGTTTCAAAGATCAATCAATCAATTAATCAATAGAATTAGGTAGAAGTGAGGGTTTTAACTATGTTGCTTCACAATGTTGGCAACAGAGAGCAGAATATGCCTCAGTTGGTGGGTTTTGGTGTTATGTGGAAGGAATGCAAGCTTCCTGATGTTGAAAGGGACAGAAATACAAATACTGTACCTTAGGCCAATTCATCTCCAGGTCTTTCCAACACTGAGGGAGAAATGATCCAGGAGACATTTTCTGAGGCCATCTACTTTTCCCTTTGACAGCACAAGGTTTTGCCATGGATGGCTTCAGGCATGAGGAGGAAACCTCTTCTGTTTTTCACATTTATACTGTTATGTCAGCTCCTTGAATTGAGAGGTCTCAAATACTGCTGATATAGATATTAGATAGCAACAGAGAGATGATTGACCCCTTAGGAATCACACAATTGAGGGTCCAAGAGGTGGACATCATCTCTCCAAGTTGCACTCTCTGGCGTCCCTGTTTAGTAGTTGAGTCCTGGGGACCTACTGCAACATCTGTGCTTAAACCAGAAGAACTATCTCAGCTGTTTCTATCATTCTCTACAAACCACAACTTTTGTAGCCATCATAGATTAGGGCAGAATGCAACATATTGCTTCTAAGGAATATATTCAAAGGTTAAAGGTTCCCCTTGATAGTTAGTCCAGTCGTGTCTGACTCTAGGGCACAGCGCTCATCCCGATCTCCAAGCCGTTGAGCCAGCGTTTGTCTGTAGACAGTTTCCGTGTCACGTGGCCAGCATGACTAGACATGGAATGCCATTATCTTCCCACCATGGTGGTACCTATTTATCTACTCACATTTACATGCATTCGAACTGCTAGGTTGGCAGGAGCTGGGACAAGCGAGGGAGCTCACTAAGGAATATACAAGGAGGTAATTCATTCAAAAAGAGTATTGAAAAGAATAGGGAAATCCTCGGAGCTGGGACAAGCGACGGGAGCTCACTAAGGAATATACATGGAGGCAATTCATTCAGAAAGAGTATTGAAAAGAATAGGCAAATCCTTCAGTAACGCTTTCAGTGGCTACAATTCTTGATGCCTATATACAGCCTGCAGAACAAGGGCAGTCCCTGTCTTACTATTTGTTACTCAGAAATAACTGTGAGTTATTGCATTCATGTACTGTTTGTGAACTTCCTGAAGCATAGATGACTGTGGTTAACAATTCTAGACAAGATGGCTCAATACCTTTAATGTGATGCAATTGGACTCTTATGTTCATAGGTAGTCCTGTTCAGCATTTGAATCTTTTAATATAAATTTCAGAATAGTCAGAGTTCTTTTGTACTCAAAGAATCTTTCCATGTATGCAAGAGAGAGAGAGAGAGAAAAGTAAACGTTGAGATTATCTATAATTATGGTAGTTGTCACAGCCAAAGCCTCAACTCAGTGATCATTATGAAAAGCAGTGTTGTTCTCTTGACCATGGGAACTGCTAGAGCAAAGAGAACAAGAACCTCGACAGCTTTTCTGGATCCTGGCCACAGTAATTAAAGTGATAATTGTATGCACACTTACACAAGAGGAAACCCCACTCAGTGCAGTGGTCAGTTACTTCTGAATACATATGCATAGAATGTACAAGATTGCATTGTACGTATGTGCAGTATCTACTACAAAGCTACATATACATATATTGTGCAGTGGAGGTAGATAGTTGTTTCTGAAGCAAGTTAAAAAGCTCTGTTTTGTGTGTGGACCTAATCAACAGTTCTCTAAATGGTGGTCACTCTAAGGAAGATGTGGACAATTTTGGTGGCTCCAGGGGCCAAGTTTCCACCCATAAGGGCCACGTGGACTGCCAGAAATGTTTTTTTCTGCCAACACAAAAGCCTCCCAAAAAACATAAACAAGAACAACAACAGAACCAAAACAAAACCCATTGAAACTAAGCCTGCAAATGATGTTAAAGGTGATACTTCCAGGAGCAGTTATTCGTCTTTTGTTTCCTCATAATAGGGATTGAAGAGAGGGCTGGGGGCTGCAACAAAAAAGCCTTAGAGGCATAAGCAGGCCCAGAGTTAAACTTTGCCCACCCTGATCTCATGGCAAGTTGATGCTATGTTTGTGTGACTGTGTTGAAAATTAAGAATTGGTTTTCAGTAGATTGTCTTCATTGCATAGACTTCTTCTAATTCTGTTTCTGCTTTCCATTTTGAAATTCTTGGTTCAATTCTACATATTTCAGAAATATTTTTGTTTCATATTAGTTGAGCTTTCCAGTAACAAATCAGGAATTGTTTAAGAGAGGTCAGCCAAAGAAGATCTTCTGGGCTTGAGTTTCTTATGAAGAACAAAACAGAATACTAGAAAGCCAGAAAATAAATACTTTCCATTCTCTAGTCCAAAGCAATAGGAACACTGACAGGGTCTAATGAGATATATTTATTTTCTTCATGGAAGTGGGGAAGCAAATTGTTTAAAAATATCCAGAACTATATTTTGAAAGACAACAGTCAACAGCATGAATATATGAGGCAAACTAGTACTTTTTAAAAATTTTGTTTTGGAACATGCACATTTGTTGTCTTATAATATTCTACCTACACGTTTCTTGAAAACAGATGTAACCTTTAAAGAGTGGCAGGGGAAGCTCTTCAGAGCTATTGATATCTTCAATGTGGTGCTACCATTTTTCCTTACCCTGCTGCATAATCTATTCAAACTAATGTTTGTATGTGTGTGTGTGTGTGTGTGTGTGTAATGTTCAGACTGCACATGAAAATAATTTTTTTTGAATTATTTACATGAATGATGACATTACAGTTCTGTATCTGCTCAGAAATATGACCCATTCAATTCATTAAGGTTTATTACCAAATAGGAGTGTGTGTGTGTGTGTGTGTGTGTGTGTGTGTAATGTGTAATGTTCATACTGCAAATGAAAATAATTTTTTAAAATTATTTACATGAATGATGACATTACAGTTCTGTATCTGCTCAGAAATATGACCCATTCAATTCATTAAGGTTTATTACCAAATAGGATGGCAAAGTATTGCAGCCAAAGGTGGATGTGGTCACCTTTTGACCAGAATTTGTGATGTCAAGTTCTTTCATGTGTTATCTTTGCTTCCCCCATCACAAGCATTTCTTGCAACTTTGTTAACAAGTTGTAGACATTTTAAAACAAGAAGGCTTTGTTTCTTTTAAAAAGTTAGAAAATGGTAACATTGTGCAAATGATTCCAATTCCTCTCTAAGATGATCATGTCACAATTTCAACAGGACTTTTTTCATAATTGCTTTTCAAAGCACATTTTCCTGAGTAAAATGTGTTCTTGATCTACAGCATCAAGCTGTAGATCATTCCTTAGTATTTCAATTCTTTTTAAAAAGGATGCTTTCTTTCAGAAAGGCTCCTGAGTAAAATGTGTTCTTGATCTACAGCATCAAGCTTAACATTCCTTAGTATTTCAATTCTTTTTAAGAGGAGCAAAAAAGGATGCTTTCTTTCAGAAAGGTCATCAATACTTACACAAAGTAAGGTGACAATTCTCTAGAGTTCCCAGTTTCAAAACTATGTGGAAAATCACTCAGAAAATGTTGCATTCTAATGCGCTCTTCAATAATGTGTTCTTGATCTACAGCATCAAGCTTAACATTCCTTAGTATTTCAATTCTTTTTAAGAGGAGCAAAAAAGGATGCTTTCTTTCAGAAAGGTCATCAATACTTACACAAAGTAAGGTGACAATTCTCTAGAGTTCCCAGTTTCAAAACTATGTGGAAAATCACTCAGAAAATGTTGCATTCTAATGCGCTCTTCAATAGCTATGTAGGAGAAGAAGCACGGAATCATAGAAGACTAGGGCTGAAGAAGTCATTAATCCCCTAGCAAAGCAGGAAAGTCTGCTTAAAGTATCCCTGGCCTCCAGTCCTGGAGATGCCACTACGCTCTGAGGCAGTCTGTTTCATTGACAGACAGTTCTCACTGTTAGGAAGTTCTTCCAAATGTTCAAGCATTTATATTAAAGCAAAAGGAACTTCTTTTCCTGTAATATAAAACCACTGCTTTGGGTCCTGCTCTCTGGATGTGCAGAAATGGAGCTCACTCCATCTTCCATGTGACAGTCCTTTAAATATTTTAAGACTGCTGTCATCAAAAATAAAATCAACTAAAAGCAAATAAAAGAAAATGTTCTGCTTCCACCACATTAACTGGTTTCTCATCTTTGTGTTTCAATAGTATATCTAGGCACAACATTTCCATATTGTTTTTGTACAGGTAAAACTGCTACACAAGGATTTTCAGTGTAGCCCTTCTCTATCTGTTGTCTCTGCTCTCTCTTTCTCTATTCCTCCTTTTTCTGGATGTAATGTAGCTGTTCAGAAATATCTTCTAATGAAAAACTCCAGATGTGCCATTTAAACAACAAAAACAACAACTGATGATTTTCATTTTCTTTTGCACTTCAGAACAGATGTATCACTGGAAGGGACCTCTGCAAGTTCACTAAAGGACAATTCTACAATCACTCAGTGCAGTGCTGTAAAAGACCAACAATATGCATGTCAAATACCTTCAACAAAACTCAACCATATTTATATTATGTGGCTCGAGATCACAAATAGCACAGTACTGCTGCAGTCACCATTAATGTCAGTTAAGCCTATAGATATCGGTAAGTTTCAACATCTTGGCGGGATCATAGAATATGTATAAAAAAAGATTTTGAGAAAGGTTTCAGATCATTGAGAACAATTCTATCAGGATCAAAACGCATGTTTTTCATGGAAAGTGCCAGCTCTCAAAACAAAACCCAAACACATAACCTGGAATTGTATGAAATATAGGTGATTAAAAGCTCATTTTTGAACACCAAACCACACTTGAGATACCAAAACATAAACTATTATTCAGTTTAGTGATAAATACATTCCTTAAAAGGCTTAAGGTTCTATGCTTAGTCATAACTCAGGCAATGCCAATTTTAATCAATAACTCGGCTTTATGAGTTTAACAAGACTTTTAGTAATGTATCCGCCTCCGCCTCCTCCTGCCACTGCCACCCAATCACCTCCACCAGTGCCACTCATGGACTCCCTTCAGGCAGAGGACAAAGCGCCATCATGAGCTTGAACCTTTGCCTCGGCTGCCAGATTGCCTCCTCCATCGCCACTCATGGACTCCCTTCAGGCAGAGGACAAGGCGGCATCATGAGCTTGAACTGAGCCCTGGCAGTGGCACTGGAGGAGGCGACTGGGCAGCGGCAGGAGGAGGAGGAGGAGGTGTAGGAGGAGATGCACTCGGCCACCCCTCGTGGCTGCCCATTGACTGTGGCTGCCCGATCACCTCCTCCAGCGCCACTCATGGGCTCCCTCAGCTTTCTCCTCATCACTTCAGTACCAGTGATGAGGAAAAGAAGGATGGAACGTTTTCAAGGGTTCCCTCAAACCTGTAACAGACCCGTGCCGAGAACAGCAAAATAGTGAGGAAGGAGACCCAGGAGTGGCAAGGAAGGAGGCAGAAAGCTGCGTGTAAACAAGCAGTTTCCCTCATGATGCCGGCAGTGAGGGGGTGTTACCATGGGGGAAAACAAAGCTGTTTCTCCTGAGTCACTTTCTGCCAAGCAGCAGGCACCTGCTTCGGTGCCTCCACAACCTCTTCCTCATCAGGCAGTGGCAGGGCAAGTGTGGTGGGAGCAGCATGGAGAGCCTGAAGCATCGTCGCTGTTGCCAAAAGTGGTGCACGAGTCCTGGCATAAATCCCTATGCTGCCACCTTGTCCCCTGCCTGAAGGGAGCCTGCGAGTGGCACAGGAGGAGGCAATTGGGCAGCCTCAATCTATGGGCTCATCCAAGGGGCAGCTGAGCACAGCTCATCTTTCGCCTATGCCTCCTGCTGCTGCTGCCGCCCCCATCCAATTGCCTCCTCCAGTGCCACCCGTGGGCTCCCTTTGGGCAGGGGACAAGGTGGTGGCTTGAGCTGAGCCCTGGCAGCAAGCGGTGCCATGCTCTGCACCAGGCTGGCATGGGCAGCAGCATCGGCATGGCTTGCATGCTCACAGAGAGGGATCTGCCTGCCAGTGGTTCAGCTTAGTTCCATGTATAAGATGACCCTCAATTTTTCCTCTAACTATTTTAGGAAAAATATTGTCTTATACACGGAAATATACAGTAATCTGAATTTATTCAGGTTTATTGCAGGATATTATACAAAGTAATTTCAGAGTTGTAGACTCTCCAGATTTTATATTCTTCTAAAAGTTTATTCATAATGTGGAAGCAGTGACTTGCCCTGAGCAGAGTTCTGCTCATTGGACACTCTGTTGGAAAAATAGAAAGAGGTCATTTCTCCAACTCTCCAGTTTTATCCACAATCTCATTCTCTTCTGGTAGTCAAAAGTGTGTGTTTGGATGTAACCAACAGTAATTTCTAAAAGAGCAACCATTAGACGCAAAGATTGTTATTGTTTGGGAGTTGGGCTTCAGATATATTCATCACATGATTGCCAGTGGAAGCATGAATTGTACAGGCTTCCAACTACTGTATACTTAAAGCTATGTGAAAAAAACTTTCCGTGATAATTCAGATGATCTCTTTACTAATGTGGTTACTTTGGCGGAGGGCTCATCCCTCTCCTTCTACAAGACAAAGGTAATTTTAAAAGTTCCTTTAAGTTTTTAGTACTCTCTCATTGGCTCATGCTGGTGGAGTGTTCTGGGAATTGTCTAAAAATAACTTTTCCCACTCTTCGCACAAAGAACATTGCTTGCCTAATGATGTCACCTGGGCTGCTGGTGTACAGTTGAGAATGGGCCTTCTGTTTTGATGGGAAAACATCCATCTTAATTATATAACAGTTGCTAAAATATTCATGTTGGACCTATACACACAACTGACATTTTATTTTGTATGACATTCTTACCCAGGGTTTTTGTATCTGAAATCAGTGAAATGTAAAAATGATTCACTTTGGCTGCATTGTGCCTGCTTACTGCTTGAAAATTGAGAATCAGTATAGTAGCTGTTCTGCTCATTAGATGCTCTGTTGGAGAAGTACGAAGATGTTATTTCCTATAGATAAGATTCCAGAACACTTGGTTCAACTTTGCACTCAGCCCTTAACTTGGACCAGTCATATTTTTTCAGTCTGACTCACTTCATGGGGATATTTGTTTAGTACTTAAAATACCAGCATAATTTAGATTCAAAAAACAAAAGATAAGAATGCTATCTAATAAACTCTTAGATTCTAGGATGACATGCCAAAAATAAAAATATATCAAATGAAATCTAATCTCACTCTGTATCATGCTGAAGTCCAGAAAGCACAAGGAAAAGACCACGTGGTCCTCAAGATTACAAATATATAAGAGCAGGTGATATATTTTATTGGACCACTAAATATCAAACAAATTGCAAGCTTTTGTGGAGAAAATCCCACTTCTTCAAGCTTAGCACAACTGTCAATATTCATTCAAGCCAGAGAGAGGAGCTTTGTAAAGTTCTGGAGCTCAAGGAAACTCTTATATACTTATAGCTTTATGTGTATGATACTTATTCCATTAAAATTAGAATTTTAGCATTCATAAAGATGAAACTTTACTGCTACTGCTTTATCCTGTCACATAGTGATAATCAGATGGGGTTCAATCAGATGGCAGATGCAATTAATGTTTTTGCAGCATTCTGGCCAAGTAAATAATCCCTGATAAACATTTGGCCATTTTCTGAACTGTTTAGTGCAGTAACATTCTTGCATTAACAAAAAGAATTTTTCAATAATCAATTTTCTTTATTTAGAATGAGTATTTCATGTTGGGTTCAAGTTAGGTTAATGCCACTGAAAGATGATGGAATTACAGAAATAATGGGATAGTGATTCTTTTGAATCATGTAACTGAGTGTTCTGCTGTTTTAAAACTGTACTATCTAGCTACGAGAACTGAAAGATGGCATTAGGTGAATGTAAGGTTACTTTCAGAAATACAGACTGGGATTCCTAAAGCACTGTGCACCTTGAAATGTTTTCTTCCACTCATACTCTATGAATAGTTTGTTTTGTTGTGTGACAACAACCCTAGCATCATGTTGAATTTCAGACATCTAAATGTTAACTTTTCTTTGCTTATAAATAGTGGAACACCGAATCTTGCCCCTCTCCTCTCTTGTTTTCTCGATCTGGAGAGCAATGTGTCTGCCAAAGAGAGGTTCTAGCTCACAGCCTCTCCACATCAATAAAACCCATGGAAAATCAGGGGTGGATTTTTTGCTCACATGGAGAACCTACAGGAATTTATCTGCAAACATGTCACACATGGAGAGAAACCAGCAACAGATGGGGTGGGAAGTAGGCACTCCTGTACTCACAGTGGAAGAGACAGTGGTAAGCTTCATTCTAGAGCAGTGGTGCCCAACCTTAGATAAACCAAATGTTTTTGGATCGCAGTTCTTCATCCAGTTAACTAAGGCAGCGGTCCCCAACCTTTTTAGCCAAACTGGCTGGCGAAGGCGGGGGCAGCCCCCTGCACACTCACATGCACAAAGGAGTGGGGGGACTTGTATGGGCACACTTGAGCACATGTACAAAGGGCAGCGCAGCACTTGTTCGGGCGCCCTCATGCACAGGTGCAAACAGGCTGTGCAGGGAGAGTGCATGCGGGGGTGGAGGGAGGTCTGTCTCCGCGGCCTAGTCTGGCTCAGGCCACAAACCAGACCTCTGAACTAAGGTATCTGAGTTGCAGCTTGTGCTTACTGAGGCTGGTGGGGCAAATAGAGCCAAAGTATCACTAGAGCTGAAGCTAAGGGATAAAAGGTAGCACTAATTAGTACACAGAACAGAAGTGCTTTTTTCTGAGATGCAGAAATTTTTCCATTATTAAAACTGATGGTGAATAAGAGACTGAAAATGAAACCGAGGGAACTTGCTAATGGAAAATCACTTGCCAAAAATGATGATCACAACACATGAAAGTATGGGTTTAATCTCAACAAATTTGTGAGGGATAGCAGCAACAGATCACTTATGAAATGGAAACCAAAGCAAGCAAGTTAAGTTTAATCCTGGGATTGCACAGGTAATAGATGGGTTATGTTTCTAACTCACAAAACACTACCAAAAAGTACTTTGTTGAGCCCCCCCCCTTTATTGTCCAAGCAGGAGCCATTAAGTACGATGCATAATTGACATGCTGGCATCAGCATCCCCATCACAGACACTCTACTCCACTGCTACTTTGAGGTAGAACTTTTAACACAATAATAAAACTAACACAATTGTCTAATTTTACTGACAAGTCAGAAGGAGGTGATTACCTGTAGTAAGCAGGGCCAGCAAGTTTTAAGTTTCCAAAGGAAGGGAAAAGTTCTAAAATGCTTTGGTTGGATGATTGAAACCAACACAGCGCAGAGGTTCACAAAAGTGGTAACACTACTGAAGACATATGTTGCTCTGGTTGTCAAAGGGCAACTCTACGTGAAGCATATCATGAGATCTTGAAAATTTCAAAAATGCGAGTAAAAAAAGGGATATGTTGAAAAGAACCTTTTAAATGATAATTTAATGACCAGATACTATGCTGAACTGTGATGATCTATCACATAGAAATCATAGATCTCCTTTCTCTCTGTGAAGGAAGCTCTTTAAGGCCAGTAACCCTGACAAAGCTGTCTGTAAAAT